GAGAATAAGCAAGACCCCGCGTCTTCACTTCAAACCCCTTTGAATTCTGCACCTCAAGGCTCTTTCCTAGCCATTCTGTTTTCTGGTGCAGTGAAATTGCTCTTTCAAAGTTTGTCAAGGACCCTTTATTACCAAACCCAATGTCCCTGACATTCCTGTGGCATTTGAGAAGCCTTCCTTGAAGTCCTCTCTCTTACTGGTTCCTGAGGAAATGCACTCACCTGGTTTTCTCCTAGATCCCTGGTCCCTCCCTTATCTCTTTCACCAATTCTTCTTCTTCCTCTCCACTTCTTCAGTTTTCTGGGAAATGGTGTCTTCTCAAACTCCATGGCCCTGTTACCTCACCCATCTTGGAGGTTTCAACTGTGATCTCCAGGTGAATAAGCTGCACATCTGTGTCTCTTTCTCTGGCTTCGTCCTGAGCTCCAGGTTGGCCTGCTATATTTTTTCCAAATAAAAGTCCTGCTGGTAACCTCAAACTTGCCAGAACTCAGAAACAAATCTACAGACTTCTCTCTTGGGCTCCATCTTTCTGTCAGTAAGCGTGTAGTCTTCCCACTCACACAACCTTACATCCTAGGAATTATCTCTGTTAATCTTTCTGGTGCCCCTTCCACTAATCAGTCACCAAGTTCTGTCAGTTCTCCTACTTAAGCAAAATCTCTGGCTTTAATCTCCATTTTTTAATTTTCCTTGGTAACCAAACCTTCATATATAGCTCAGTTGGTTAAGTGCTTGCTTCACATGCACAAGGCCTTGGGTTAAATCCCCAGCACCACACACACACACATACACACACACACACACATAAATTAAAATACCATAAAATACACATAAATACCAGTTCTGAACACCCCAATTCTGAAATAAAAACAAAATACGATTATATAGAAAACTTTGGGAAGGATTAATAGGAAAGTGTGCTAAATATTTAGACTTTGTACTGTGATTCTTATTATTTTTTTCATAAAAGTCTAATTTGAAAATTTGTGTCATTCCTTATCAAGTGAATTTATGGAAATCCTCACTAAACCTCTGTGTCCAGCCTCATCATAGTCCTAACTTAACTTTCCATCTTTATTCTTCACTTATTTTATATTAGAGCTGATGGATTATTTATTATATATATATATTCATGGATGAACTGGTATAGGAGGAAATATGTGGAATAGAGACAAGGATTTTAGGTTAATTTCCTAAAAGTTTTGGTCATCAGTAGACTTTATTTGTACATAAGAAACTCAGAAAATTGAGCCCAAACAACCCATATGTAGAGATATCCTGAATTAGAAACATCGAATTTATAACTCTCCATAGCATGACTCAAGTTTCTTAAGTTATATTTATCACCGACTTGGGGCCTGCATCAGTGTCACTTTGGAGCAACCACAGAAATGCTGACTGTCATCTACTTTATTGGCTGCTGGCCTCCTATTTTCCAATATCAACATATTCCAGAGTCTGGGATTCAGGATCCAGAGTATGAGGACACCTTGACATTATTCATCCTAATTTTTCCTATTATAGGCAACAAATTTCTGGTTGGCAGAGACACCAACCATCTGGAATGTGGACCTTGCTTTGATTTTTCTTTCCCCACTCTGCCTTTTTCATACCCTATTTTTTCGGGATGCCAGTTTCCCTGTCAGCCTGAGGCCATCCTAGATCCACACATGCTCACCTTTGCTGCCATCCTAGAGACAATATTTTCATCTGCAAATTAGAAAAAATGGGCTGTGCTTGCAGTTCTCTTTCACTAACTCTGAATTTCAGCTTCTCATATCCCCCAAGTACAATGTTATCAAAGGAAACAGAACTGCCCATCCCACTAATATCTGGCTGACCTCCCTCCCTTACCCAGTCATGCTGATCTAGTAAATTTGTACCTCAAGGATAGACATTTGAAATACATTTTTAAAATATTTTAAGTCATTTTATTTTTTTGTACAATAAATGTTATTAGAAAAACAATACATTTTCCTAATTGCTATACAACTACTGTGAGACCATGCAACTATGATACTGTAACAAGAGTTTTGCATATTAACTAAGCTCTTTGGTAACTCTAACAATCTTTAATAATTTTATTTTTATAGGAAGCCATACTTCAGGTTTCAAAGAGCCAAATATGTGCAAGCCTTTTAATTTTACAGTTATAAATACTATGATTTTAACTTTCTAACATTTACACACACACACACACACACACACATCACACACACACACACACACACACATTTGTCCTTACAGACCAAGGCTGAGTGGGAGCAAGGGGAAAAGGTTCTTAAAGTGCAAAATGGTGAACAATGTTCTCCTTAATCATGTTATTATATTTATTTATCCAACTAAAGAATGACCAGGGCTAGGGGTATAGCTCAGTGACAGCATGCTTGACTAGATACATGAGGCCCTGTGTTTGATCCCTAGCGCTTAAAAAAGAAAGTCTATGCCGTAGATAACTGCAAAAAAATTATCTCCTCTCTAAGGGTAACCCTTTCCCATATCATGATACATTTCTCTATGTTCTCATTGAATCGTATATATGCATCTTAATATAATACTCATATTGTAACATAATGTATAATTATTTGTTTGTATGTCTATATTTCCAATTAACTGAGATTTACTTGAAGGTGAGGATTAAGTCTCCGTACATTAGTTCAAGGCCTAGCACAGTGGAATGGAACAAGCATTTAGTAATCTATTGATGAATGAAAAATAAATACATAGGTAAATTTCTTCACGTGGCCCCACATTTACAGAAATAACTCATTTATACACTCAGCCACTGCTAGTTTGGACCTTGAATGCCCCCCAAAGCCTATGTACGTACTAAAGGATTAGTCCCCAAAGTAGTACAACTGGGAGATGGTGGAAACATTAAGAGGCGGGGCCTTGTAGGATGTCTTTCACTCATTGGGGGTGTGCCCTTAAAGGAGGTTGGGGGACCCTGGCCTCTTCTTTGTTCTCTTTCTCTCTCTGTGTGTTAGGAGCTGAGTAGTTTTACTCTCCTGTGTTCCCACTGTGATGTGCTGCCTCCCCACAGGCCTAAAGCAACACAGTTGGCCAGTTGTGGACTGGAAACTCCAAGTTCATACACCAAATTAAATGTTTTCGCTTTATAAGTTAATTATCTCAGGCATTTTGATAAAGTGACAACTGATTAAAACAGTCAGTTATGACCAAAATACTAGAATGTCATCCACATCTGAAAATGTTGGTCAAAGCAGAAAATAAGTTTCTTTGAAATAGATCCATGAACATAATTTATAAATGAGTCCAGAAAAAGTGTGAACACTGGATTTTGGGGCTTGTTCCTTTAGCATATTCCCTGACTTCAGGCCTCAGACATCTTTGTTTCCTCAAGATTTTTTTTTTTTTAATTTGGTTTTTCCTTATAAAATCACTTCCTCTCCACAAGTTTTCAAAGGTCTTGAGATGAACATGTGTTACTCTTAGGATTCTAATGGAAGGATGATCACCCAGTAGGAAATGGACGAGAACTGAGGCAGGCCATTCAGACTGAGATCTGTTTGCCTCGCCACCTTACCTGGAGGAGATGAGAAGAAAGTGTGGGCAAGTGCGGGTGGGGACTGAAGAAAGGACAACTGGAAATGTCCACGTCAAATGCTTGTTTGCTTTGTAAACACTTACCAGGTGGAGTATCACAAACAGAGCCACGGAATTCAGTTAGGTCAGCAGCCCTAGACCTGCCTGGTGACAGGAATCAACAGGATCCACTGGTTAACCATGGAGGTTTCTAGGCTTCTCTCCAATCAGAATTTCAAATCCGTCCCTTTAACATGTGATCCCTGGTGATTCTGACAAGCAGGCAAGTTTAGAAAATATTGAATTGGTTCATTGTAATTTCCTGATATTGAGTTTAGAAGGCACAGTCCACCCATTCTCACGCTCATACACTTGCCCCCACGGGTGCGTGTAGAGGTTTTCTTTCTTTTTCTCTCTCCCTCCCTCTTTCCCTCCCTCCCTGCCCCCTCTTTCTTTCCCTTTCCTTCTTTTTCTGGCATAGTCATTACATGTGAATGTTCATAGTGGCAATATGACTACTCATCACGGGAGAGGGAGTTAAAGGAAATAGAAAAAAGCAACTCCAGGCTCCGCATGTCACTACTTGATGCAATTTACAAACTTAGAAACGTCCATGGATGATTTGGGTCTATTACTAACTATCTAACGAGGCGGGTTTTATGTGTATGTATGTGTGTTTGCTTTTTAAACACTTATCAAGTAAGTTTGGATAATCAAGCTGAGTCATTTAATCCCTTTAAAAAAAGCCCCTAATCCATCTTCCACTTGGGAATTTTGAATCTGGAAACTTCAAGTGTTGTACATATGATGTGCTCTTTCTAAAAAAATGACTTGCATAAAACCCAGGACTATTTTCACTCTGTGTGTTCACGGTACTCAGGCAGCGTCCGGGAAAATTTGGGCTTGAATTAGCTCTGCTCCTGTTCTGACCCGCATCCTTCTCATTTTTAGATAGGCTCTTTTCGGATCCCAACCAGTCTTTTACTTCTTTAAAAGTTTCTTGAAAATGAAAATGAGCATGTTGTATTTCCCAGGTTGTGTACATTGAACTTACAGCAGTACTAATAGATGAATTTATGTCTCTACCTGAAATGAATTAGGAAAAAAATAAATATAACACCACAGATAGAGGTTCATAGTGAGGAAGAATGTTGAACTTGGGTGGTGTGAATTCTTTCTGTGTCCCGAGTCCTTTCATTAACTCATGCTGAGGATGGAGCAAAGCAGATATGTGTACGTGTTTATTAAACTTGAATTTGATTGAAGGGTGCCAAGGAAGAGTGATTTCTTTTTATGTGATCCAAAAAATAGGGTAATTGGTTCTTGTGTAGGTTATAATATACTTTATTTTTCTTCCTTTCTAATATGTGTTACTGATAAAAAGAAATAATTAAACATCTTGCTTAGTATGTTTTTATAAAACTTATTCTTATTCTTCTTATTTTGTGAAGCTTGTGTCCGACTCCCGAATGTCTTTTCCTAATATGGTAAGTAATACATTTCAGAGAGAGCTTTCTTCGACTTGGTTTTACTATTAGTTAATTCCTCTACCATGTCCTATTTTCACTATCAGAAGTGGCTCATTTCTTGTTGGGAGCTGTGGTTTATTGAGGTGGGGAGTTCCTTTAAGGCTAGTAATACTTTGGAATCCCCAGGGATGGTCCATGACAAAAAGAGATTAGAATTCTGAAGTGACACCTTTCAAACCACAGCCAGTCTATCATCTGAGTCATAGTCATCAACGGGGTTAGTCCACACAGAAAAGGGGAAGATAAAGGAAGAAATCCTATAAAAGTACAGTATACCTAATAGAAAAACTTTCAGTCATGCTTTAGATTTTTGAGATCTAACCCTAAAACATTTTATGCTTAAAATTACAGAGACCCAAACCAAGTACCAATCATAACTTTCCCTTCACTATCATAAGTGGTTTTGTTTTTATATATTTTGTTGAATACACATTCTTTGAGTTGGTTCTGAACATCTTCCTTTTTTTTTTTTTCTAAAGAGGTTTTCCTAACACTCCATGCATCACATTAATTAAGGAATAATGGAATTTATCTGAAATAGTGTAAGCCACTCAATCCTTTTTAGAGGTGTCTATGTGATTGACAGGTCTGAAAGGGCATCAAGAGCCAGCCATGCACATTAGTCATTGAAGGGATTCTAGAAGTGGAGCTCACATATCCTGGCAATAAAAAGTGAGGGATAATCAAATTATTTTCTTTCATAAATAACATTGTGATTACTGCTCATGAGAAGGGCTGAGTATTTTCAGCTGCTACTGAGCAGAGCCTTCTCTTCAGTTCCCACTGTGGCTCAGTCTTGGCTGGCTGACAAGTTGCCTGACTATGGTTGTGACATCCATTTTTAGCTTCTCTCACTGCCACCTGTTGTAAACTTAGCTTTCATTTTTTGTGTTATCTTTGCCTCTCACAAGCAAAAGGTCTTCACATATAAGGAATATAGTGTAATAAATAGAATTCATGTCTCATGAGCCCTGGATTGACATGCCCAGGTTGCAGCTTTGAGAGATAGCACTCCTCTCCTACCCCATCCCTCCTCACAGAGTCCTCTGCAAGACTGAAGAGGGCTGAAAGGACTTACCTTTTACCCAAAGTTGTAGCCCTGGAGGTACAGCTCAGTGGAGCCTGTGCGAGGCCCTGGGTTCAGTCCTACACATCCAAAAATTTAAAAAAAAAAATTGTAAAGAGTAGATTGGAAAACATAATGGTAGCTCCACAGACAACATTGGAACATAATGAATAATCAGATGTTAATGTCTTTCAGCAGAGTGAAACCTACGAGGAGATGGCATCAAGAAGTCCTGCTCAGACTCAACTTGAAGTTCTGGCTCCAGCACTTAATTCTACCTTGGGATTCTCAACTCTCTTTCAACCTCAGTTTCCTTATTTGTAAAATGGGCAGAATGTTTTGTAACCTACCTAAGTAGTTTAAAAAATGTTGTGTGTGTGTGTTTTGTGTGTGTGTGTTTTGTGTGTGTGTGTGTTTGTTTGTGTGTGTGTGTGTGTGTGTGTGTGTGTGTGAAACTATGGAAACTGAGAGCCAGGCACAGATGCTCATGCCTATAATCCTAGTAGCTAAGAAGCTGAGGCAGAAGGAGTGCCAGGGTAAAGCCAGCCTCTGCAACTTAGTGAGGCCCTAAGCAACTTAGTGAGACCCTGTCTCAAAATAAAAAATAAAAAAGGGCTAGGGCTGTGGCTCAGTGGTTGAGCGCCCCTGGGTTAGATATTAAAGTGCATAAGGTGCTACAGATATGACTACAAAGTTTTGGGGAGTCAGGCATGGTATTTTTTCAAATAGAGCTCAAACAGTTCCCATCTGCCAAACCTTGTTTCCCTTTTTGCTTTTCCTAAAAACTCTGTTGGCACTTGTTATGAGCTATTTTTTTTTCTTCTGTCACTTAAACTCTGTTCTAATCTCTTCAAGAGCGAGGACCTAACTTTGTGGGCTGCATACTCCCAGCTGGCAGGAAAGATGGGGGGAAATCCCCAAGGACTACACCAGAGTGGGAAGGCCAGAGTTATGAGAGGAGCAGAGGTGGTCTTCTCAGAGGAGAGCAAAGACAAATGAGAACTTTGATGTCATGGAGAAATTCTGAGATGAAGAGGAGTATGGAGGGGCTTCCATGAACTTGCCAAGATCTTTGTAAAGAAAAAGGTCAATCAGACAAGGAAAAGAGGGGAAGGGAGGAAGGGTCTTGAGAAAGAATTTATCAAATTATGGTGTCAATCTAATGCACCCCATACCTTTCCATTCCTGTGTGAGGAACAAAGGCCATGTCTTGTTAGTGTTTGAAAATCTCAGTGCCTATCACAATAACTCACACACAACACAGTTTTTTTTTGACTCTGATGTGAGTAGAAAATGATGTTATTGTTTAGTCATTTTATTATTTATGCTATATAATAATAATAAAATATGTGGTATATGATAACACATGTACATGACATCATGTGAGTAATAGCACTTATTAGCATTTGAATCATGTATTAGAACCCTATGTCTATTATTTCATTTAATGTTAAGACAAGGTAAATGCTATAATTATGTCCATTTTAGAGATGAGAAGACTGAGGTTTTGAAAAGAAGTGTTGCAACAGGGTTATAGAACAAGAGTATTGAGTTAATGAAAATTCAAATAATTAGAGGAGAGAGTTAAGAGTCCAGCTGAGGCTAACCAGATGACTTTGAGAAGGAACTTAGCATAATTCCTATTTATCCCCACAATGTTCTGAAAGCTGGGGTAGTTGATTGAGTTATCTAGACTTATAATGCAATGGTTATGTGAATATCACCTGCGGTGTGCTCCACCTTGGGCCTAGTAGCTATGAGTCACGTAATAAAGAGGGTATGCCTGTAATCCCAGCAGCTCAGGAGGCTGAGACAAGAGGACCGCAAGTTCAAAGCCAGCCTCAGCAACAATGAGGCACTAAGCAACTCAGTGAGAACTTGTCTCTAAATTAAAAATACAAAAGAGAGAGAGAGAGAGAGAGAGAGAGAGAGAGAGAGAGAGAGAGAGAGAGAGAGAGAGAGGGGACACATTTTTGAATGGATGTAGGAAGTCAAGACATGTTCTTCAGCCAATTGGAGACAAATACTTGTCCTTGCCTTGATATATTTTAGATGATTCAAACCATTTCTTGTGCTTTGCTCCACCCTCTCTAGCTAAATATCTTGGCTGCTGGCCTGTCTGCTTTTAACTTCATTCAGGAAATACTGGTTAAGATGATTCGGGAGGGGCCCCTTGGAGGTTGGTGAACCTGACAACCCCTGCAGCCTACATGTGCACAGCCCAGTTATTTGCAGATTAATGGATGTAGGGGGAAAGGAGGAGGCAGGAATCCTCACTGAACTCCTGGGTGGAGTTGCTGGAGGTATTCTTCAAATCACATCGCTACCTTTTCGTATAGTCAGGGCAGGGCCAGTCTGCTAGCTCCCAAAGCAGAACCGCTCCCCTCTTTCAAAGCCAAGTCTGCTCAGGGAAATGTAGGAGGGATTGTGCAATCTTTCCAGTGTAGGGAAAAGGGGACAGGTGGATAGGAGTTAAGTTGTTGAGTTATTAAGCATTAGATTATGCTTTCATTTTAAAAACCTTGGGAAAGGAAGAATTTGGTAAGCATATCAATTCAGCACTTAACAGTTTCTGCCTTCCTTCTATCAAAACCACTTGTGAAAATTGTGCTATTTTTCGGTCTGGACCGAGAAGCATTCTCAAAAGAGAGCAGATGTGATGGGTGAGAAGTTTTAAAACAATGTCACTGAAGGAGTCATTAAAAGGGGTGACTACGGTTGCTTTGGGGAGGAGAGGTTCCCACCCATGTGCTGGCTCAGCCTAGCCTGCACCTGGGCCCAACTGAAGAGATCAGGATTGACTTAGGATGCAGTTCGAAGAGTGGAATCTCCCCCCCCCCCCCCCCGCAGGACCTCATATGTGCTGGGCAAGCACTCTACATTGAGCTTCACTTCTTACCCTGGATAGTAGAATTTTAAAAGTTGTTTTGGTTGATTCTAATGCACAATTGAGTTGATAACACTGTTTAGGGAGCCGATTGCCTGCAGAATAAATAAAAGCTTCTTGTGGGAAAGGATCTTGATTTGTTCAATAACCAGTGCCCATGGTAGGCAGTGTGAGGGAACAAGAGGAGGGCTCAAAGGAAAGGAAGGTTTAGAACTTTGTGCTACAGATGGAAGTGACTTCGTGGGTAGAGAAGCTTGTGACACTGGAGGGGATCAAGGATAAGGTGGAACTGGAACAGTGATGGCCAAGTAGTGCCAGGAGGATCAGATGCCCCCTGGATCCCTTTCCCCTCCTCTCAGCAGCTCTGCTTTCTCTCTTTTTCCTGTATTGGGTTTCCCCATAAGATTTCCTTTGAAGAAAGAGGTCTGCTCAAAAAAGTTTTATTTTTTTTTTAATATTTTTTTTTAATTTTTTAGTTCTTGGCGGACACAACATCTTTGTTGGTATGTGGTGCTGAGGATCGAACCCGGGCCGCACGCATGCCAGGGGAGCGCGCTACCGCTTGAGCCATATCCTCAGCCCCCAAAAATGTTTTAAAACCACTTAACCAGTTGACCTTTATGTCTGTTACCAACTCTGAAATTTTATTGTGTTATGTCTTTGATGTTTTCTAAGAACCAGGCTATTAATTGATCCATTCTTCAAAAGTCTGAGGGGCAAAGGAAGGAGGGCCTGAAAGTTTGGGAAGTGTGAGTAGCAGGGGAGAACTTCTCTTTGCTGAGACCCCCTACTCACTTTAGATCTGAAATCGCCTGGGAACTGTTCAACAAAATTCCCTCCAAACCCATGGACCCAGTCTCTGGGAAAGGCTCCAGGCATAGGTATTCATGAAGGGTAGCAGAGCTGAGAGATACAGGCTTAATGGGTGGGCAATAAGAGTGGATCCTCTTTTTTGTTGGTGTGGTTTGGTTTGGTTTGTTTTTGTTTTGTTTTGCTTATATTGAGGCTGAACATGTTAGACAACCATCAACACAGTGGTTCTTTTTTGGAGGGTGTATGTGGGGGGGGGGCGGTTCTGGGTATTGAACTCAGGGACACTCAACCCCTGAGTCACATCCCCAACCTTATTTTGTATTTTATTTAGAGACAGGGTCTCACTGAGTTGCTTAGTGCCTCACTATTGCTGAGGCTGGCTTTGAACTCGTGATCCTCCTGTCTCAGCCTCTTGAGCTGCCAGAAACACAGTGGTTCTTAAACTTCAGGTGCACCAGAATCACCTGGAAGTCTTTTTTGGGTCCCACCACCCCATAACTTCTGATTTAGGAGTGCTGTGATTGGGCCAACAGTTTGCATTTTTAGCAAGTTCTAGGTGATGCTGATACTAATGATTGGGATCCCACTTTGAAAACTGCTACTATAAGAAAAGGAATTCAGTTTAGACATCAAAAAGAACCTTCTAATTGTATAATGGGTAGCATGTACCCTTGATATGATATGATACCATATGGCATAAAATGGTCTCTGTGGTCTTCCTTCTCCAAATGTGTTAACTCAGTCTCGAAAATGAGAAAAACATCAGAAAGATCCTAATTTAGGGACATTCTACAATTAATTTTCAAAACCATCAAAATCATGAAAACTGAAGAAAATCTTAGAAACTGTCAGAGCCAAAGGGAATCAAGGAGACATGATATGGAATGGAATGCAGAAAAAAGACATCGGGAACAACTGAGGACATAATGTATCTATGGATTTATTGGCTGTGACAAATGTACCCCACTGATGTAATATGTTAACAGGGAAACTGAGTGTAGGGTAGAAAAACTTCTAAACTACTGCTCCATTAATTACAGTTATTCTGTAAATCTAAAACTGTTCTAAGATAAAGAATTTATTTGAAAATACTTCCTGACTGCTCAAATACACCCCTTTCTTGATGATTTTTATAGAGGAGTTGTCTTTTAAGAGCACAAAGAAAATAATATCGAGTAATTATATTTTAGTTGGAACAAAGCCTTATCAGGATAGAGGCAGATGAATATATAACATATTTTATTCTTTTTATTTATGTAATTGTGTGACTTTAAGATGATTTTTAAGAGATATTTAAAGATACATACACATATATACATTACTTAAAGATATATAAATATATATGCATATTATAATGTGCATATATACATGCATTCACAATACCATACACATGTGTATTTGCATTCTTACAGCTGATGTGAAAGATAAGGTAGCAGATTCTTCTCAATTTATCATTGAGTGCAGGAATACAATCCTAGTTAAGAAAGACACCTGTTCTAATGACTTATTATATTGTTGAGAAAAATTTCAACCTTCTGATTGTATCAATGGAAACCACCACAAGTGTAGTCATTCATATTCTCTTTCCTCACTTCTTTTTTGTTGCCCAAGAGAATCTGCTTAAGGTAGTCTAAGAGTCTAGGTGAGAGTCAGAATCCTTTGCCTGGCCACCATTCAGCTGCTGGTTTGTGGTTGTGTAGACCTTATTTCATTGGCTTTAATTCTGCATATTTCTTTTTAAATTTTTACTTATTTATTTATTTTTAAATTTTTACTTATTTATTTCTTTTTAAATTTTTACTTATTTATTTATATGTAGTGCTGAGAATTGAACCCAGTGCATGCGTGAGGCAAGCGCTTTACCACTGAGCTATAGCCTCAGATCCAATTCTGCATATTTCTGTTTCGGTTTTAATGTGCTCTTGGAGTCCTGTGTGCTTATAGGGGTGCGATGGATTGAGAATACCCCCTGGATGTGTGTGTGTGTGTGTGTGTGTGTGTGTGTGTGTGTGTGTATGTGAGTGTTCCTGTTGTTTCCCATTTGGGCTTTAAGTCTCCTGATTTTGGCCATTTAAGTTCCCTACATAGCACCTGGCACCATTCAAGATCGTAAATAGCAAGCATAACTGACAGGGGAGACGTAATTCAAGGCCAAATTCAATACCCCATGCATGCATGGTTACAGTGGGTTGGTTAGAAGCACTCCTGGGCTCGGCACTGTTCTCAATGATTCTCTAAGGGAGAACCTTGGGTACCAATCCATCTTGCATCCAGGCAGGAACTCTCAGGGGATAAGACTGAAAGGTTTAATGCGAAACCAAAAATTTGAGGCCAAATGGTCCATCATCTGGACTCTTCCTAAATTGAGCAGCAATAGTGAATAGTCAACTAAGCTTTAAATAGCTGTATTTAGGATAAAATCATTTCCTACTCACAGAAACAGAGAAGGTGAGTAAGTTGCCCAAATTCACACAGGTCAAAGGGAGTCAAGATCCTGATCATGTTCTAGACCATTAGGCTCCTCTACCTTTCTTGGATAATAGATACCAGAAGTCCCAATCTAAACTAGCCTGGCTAGTCCCAGTGACCTCCACAACTGTCCAAGGACTGAAATAGTATGTTCCCACACTTAGATATATTTCTGTCCACTCTCCTTCCTACCTCTTCACCACCACCAGCAACTGGTAAATATGGATTGAGCCAGGCACAGTGGGCACAAAGATGAATAAGAGTGTAATCCTGCTCTCTGGAACTCTGGGAGAGACTGACCCCCAGGCAGATGCACCAACAAAATCCCACATGGATTCTAGTGGCACCAAAGGAAAGAACTATGTAGCCCACCTGGCCTTAGAGCAGGATTAAGAGTGACAATGACTGTCTTCCATTCTTATTTAGTTTTTCTCCTGTTACTCCCCTGATTTGTTTGACTTACTATTGACAAGTCTAAGTGGCAGGAATTTGAAATTCTTCATTCTTTCTGCAAGGCAGTCAGAAGCTTAGAAGGGAGGTACTCTTTTCATCCAATAAATGATTTATAGATCAGCACAACTTTGTCCCTTTCTGCCCGCCCCCCCCACAGGTATCTCCTCTTTTCTTCCTTCCAGTCTCGGGTTCTGCCTCTTCTATCAACCTTGCCCTCTTGGTTTCCATGTCTACTGCAGTAACAAACAGCTGCTGCTGAGGTGTCCTTGACGTGTTACTTATGCAAACTCCCTTTTCCAGATGATGGCATCCTCCTCTGGAGAGCAAGCAGCCTTGTTGCTATGGAGACCCGAAGGGATCAGGTGCTTTTGTCACCAGCCTCACTCCCGCTGCGGGTGCCACTCTTTTCTACGTCATGCTGGGCTGTCTTGCAGCCAGCTGTGGCCACAGCCACGCTCTTCCTCCTGGTTAAACCTAATCAAGTGATCAGTGGCAGATCGTATCAAGACTTCTGTTTGATGTGCTAATGGTGACAAATGTGCTTCCAGGGTTAATAAATGGGGGAAAAGAAAACAGTCTAGTCACAAGGTTTGGGATGAGAGGGTTTGTATTCACATAAACACAAACTTTCTCACTGCTTGTCATCCCAAATTGTTTTGTTCTCAAAGGCTGTCTTTCTGCTCCTCCTCTGATCTCAGTTTCCTACATAACAACTTTCTTGGTTTACATGCCCTTTGGCAAGTGCAGCCAGCACCATTTCCTGTTTCTAAACTTGTAGACAACCCTCCATCTATCTCACAGTTGTCAGTTTGCATGAGATAACAACTGTACTGTATTGCTGCTTTTTTTTTTTTTTTAAATCTTTAGCTTAGGTTCAAAGGACCCTAGAAGTGAGCTGTTGATTTCTTTTTTCTTTTACCTTTTTTTTTTTTCCTGTGGTGCCAGGGATTGAACCCAGGGCTTTGTGCATGCGAGGCAAACACTCTACCAACTGAGCTATATCCCCAGCCCCTCTGTTGATTTCTTTGTTAGACCAGTCTTAATTAATCTGGATAACTTTCCACAAGACTCAAAATCTGAAAATGAAAGTAAGTAGAATGTGTTCTCCGGTTCCTGAGGCTGAAAACTCAATGATGGTGACACAAAACATAGGACTTTAAAGCAAGAAGTGCTTTCTCCTGTGTGTTCAGGGAGAAGGGAGGACAGAGCCATGAATGCAGCTCAACCTGGTGAGGACTTCTGCAGTAAGAATCCCTAACTATGGCAGGTCCGGTACGGATCAGAACCACAGGGGCTGAACCCTCTGTAGGTCAGAGACATTTGAACAGTTCTGACAATTGGTATGCATGCTTGCAACGAAGTTGATCACTTCGTTGGTCATTATTTCTGTAGTACTACTATGTGCTAGATACTAAACTTATTTTTCTTAAGATATTAGCATTCTAAAACTATTCACAGGTTTACTAACCATTTATAAAAGTAAGGTATGCTGATCTGATTATTTGAAAAGTACATTAAAGGGTATAGAAAAAAGTGAAAAAATCCTCTGTGGTGTCCCTGAGAGACTATCACCATCAACCATGTGAAGTTATCTTCTTGTTTTTTGACTCCATGTGTGTCTCAGCAAAGCTCACAATATGCCATGTAGATAGTTTGCCATTTACTTTTTCCTTTTGCTTAATTTTACTTCATAACCATTTTTCCCACGTCATTACAAACTTTTTATAAACCATCTTATTGATGGTCATGTGATCTTCATCTCATGTGCAGCAAATACTATCTTTTTTTCCATGAACCACATCATACGGAGTCTAGATTTCTTTTAAAGTTAGAAATATGTTCATAACTCATAGACATGTCCAATTTTATGTGCCAATTAAGAAAACATAAAACATTGAATTAATAATACTAATCAATCTGTCTCTTCTGCACAGATCAAGGTTTTTTGGAAAAGTTAGCTCTTTCATGTTTTGGGATGTCTCTATAATTCTCTTCCAGAAAACACACACACACACACAACGCACACACGAACACCCTGGAGCCTGACAGATCACAACCATGAAGGTGGGTCTCTGGTTTTCAATCCAGCATGACTTCCGTTGCCCCTACCCCTGGCCCATGCCCTTGTGATGCAGACAGTCCTCCTGATGAGCTAGGCCTTCACATCTGCACTGATGAACTGCAGACCCAGCACCTAGCATCCGCTTCCCTCAGCACCAGCACATAGCCACCTACCTTTTTGGAAGCCCCTTCTCCTGATGGCGGGCCACTCCCTCCCTTCTCCCAGGAAAGCAGTTCCATTGTAGTCCCTGCTAGCTCCTGCCACCATGAACAAACCTTGCATTCTCTTCCCTGCCACTTGGAATCACAGTGACCCTCTTCATTTAGGTCATATTTCCCCCTCCAGATCTTTTCACATGCTCTTCCCTTTTCCTAGAATTCTCTTCTGCTGTCTCCTTGTTTTGAGTAACATCACACATTCTTCATGTTTTAGTTTAAATATCACTTCCTCTGGCTACATCCCCTTTGCTATGTACTCCTGTAGCCAAAGCCATAATTACAGTGCTCGATTAAATGTTTATCTCCTCCCAAACTGTGGGTTCTTGCTGAGGGCCATTACCAAGTAGGAATGACGCATCGAAATTTCCTTGTCAAGCGTACCCCATGCTGCTTAGAGGACATTCGATGGGACATTGCATGCATGCTTTAATAAGGTGACCTTGCTCAAGGACCAAGGCGGATCCGGGTTTAGAGCTGATCAGGTTTGAGGAAGTAACCGGCTCCTTGAGTTTAAGGCGTTGCCAGTTTAAAATAATGGGTTTTAGGGAAGTTGGCGGTTGAAGATTATTGCTGGGATTAGGGTGTTCCTGCTGCTTGTTCCCGTTGAGTTCTCGTGAGATTAAAATGGGATTTGGAGATAGCCTCGTGGAGTAGGTGAATTGTGCAGGCAGACAGCAGAACGCGATTGCCCCTGGACCTGTGTGGAGGCGCTGTGAGAGCTGAAATAAAGAATTGCTGTTTGAATCTACAAAGCTGTGTGGTGGCTCGTGATTCTGGTGCCAAGCATTGACCTTGGCAGGTTCTGCAAGGAGAATGACAATGTCTGGGTTTGGTTTTGCTCCCCTCTGCCCCACCTCTTCTCCTTCTCCCCCTCCTTCTTCGTCTTCTGTAAATGATGATGAAATGAGCATCTTTTATGCTTGATTATTTGTCCCTATTTTGTAACTTTTAAGTTACTTTCTGATGACAAATTCTTGGAAGTAGAATTACTAGGCCAAAGAATATAAACATCTTGGAGTCTCTTGAGCTTCCTTACATGACGCTTAAACTCGTAGCACTCTTCACCACCAGCAAGTAAGAGACGATTCAGCTGTTGTCTTCCTGGCATGTATGAAATTATGTTTCTTCATCGGGGTTCATGTGTACCTGAGTGGGTGCATCATGAGCAAGTGTAGATGGGTCTTGTCCACTTGGAATTTAATTTATATCTGGCAGGAGGGTAGGATTGTCTTTTGCCAAAAGAGACGAATTATCTCAAGATGATTATCTAAAGATGTTTTGCACAATAACCATTTTTCCCCCTAATGATTTGATAGCCACTATTATTCTTGGTTCAGTATGTTTTCCTGGGGTGGGTATGACCCCTTTTCATCCTTGAGGTTGTAGGGAAACATTCTGAAAAGGCAGCCTACCTTCTTCTGTACTCTTTCTTTTCTGCATTCATTCTCCCTGGCTCTGCCCACTGAATGTCTCCATTCAGCAGCAACCAAGCTCCACAGAGGCAGGATTCTGGGGCATGTAGGGAAAGCTGGAGACCTAAACCTAGGGAAACCCACCAGGCTAATGCTAATTTAGCTATGTTTCTAAATGTGGTTTTCTGGAATGATCAGAGCTTAGCTTTAGCCTGTCTGACACTGGACTTTTTTTAAAAAAAAAACATAACCTGTGAACAGAAGACCACTAAAAATGAAGTGCTATGGCAGAAGACAGATTATCTGCTGTCATTCCTGGTGTTTAAGACACCTGAGTTTCTATGGTGATGGTTTCTTCTTTTACACAACATGGTACATTTGTACAAAGGGGGGAATGCCAGTCTTCACTAACTAAGACAAGAGACTCAATGTTTCCCTTACAGGAAGCCACCAGCCACGTCCTCAGAAAGGCAGTGGGAGGAGACATCTCTAAATTAAATTAATTTGCTCTCTGCTTGCCTTCTGGCTTGCTTTCTGGCTTTTTTACACAATACCATAGTTTTTGCAAGTTGGTCCTGGGAAAATTAGGTCGACAGAATTTGACCCTAATTTGTGAATATTAATTGGCTGCATTTTCCATAAGTCAATATTGGCAATCAAAAAAAGTGATCATTTTTATATTTCAAGATGTAAAACCAATTGGAGAAAGAGAATTCTGCTGCTTCTTAGGATACTATCATAATTTCTAAGTGCTACTGGATTTAAATCAAGCATGCCCTGCCCCTAAATGTGGATCTATGTTTTAAAAATGAATTAATTTATCCTTTATCCAGAACTCATATGCAATTTTCCCCTGTGAATCTTAGACAAATCTAATTAATATTCCTTTCATTGTTTGCTTTTTTTTTAAAGAAAAAAAAACAAGTACAATTTCTTTCTCTGGGTGTATGTTGAGGGGGAGGAGTTGCAAGTATTTTTAAATGTCCTTAGGTGTTGTAAGAAATAGCAAGTAACAGAAGACTTAACTTAGACCAGTTTCAATAATAAAGAACTTCCTGCCAGTTCCTCTTTCTCTCCATTCTGCTTCTTCAGCTCTGCTCTTCCTTTTCTCCATATTTTCTAACAACTATTATTTTACTTGTTGTATTTATTGTCTCTGATCTGTCTCTTGGTCCATGAGGACGGAGATTCTTATCTGTTCAATGCATTGATGAAATCCAAGTGCCTAGCCATGACTGGCACAGGGCATTTGTTCAGTATTTTTTGAATTCACTTCAATCAATTCCTGTCTCTGAAAAGTGCAGGTTCCTGAAGAGATGGGGTCCTTGGGCTCAATGGTACCATGTAGGACCTAGCTCCTATCTCCATATTTTGTGTTTCTTGGTGATGACTCAATCTTTGGTCAGGCTCCTCCTGTGGTTCTCATGTGCCTCTTACGTCTCAGTGTTATAGTCAAGTGGCAGGAGGGACAGAGACTTTATCTTGCATCCCAAGCACAACTCCTGAGACTCACTCTAAAGGAAGGGGCTCAGGTCACCATCACTCCGGCCCCAGTGAGGATGTCATATGCTGATGGCTTAACTCAGGCCATGTGTTCCCTCCTCAGCACAGGGATGGAATTGACCTTCAGGCATCATGTGGATCCCCAAACAGGAGAGAGGGAAGTGAAGAATGCATGTCCACTCACTCAATCAGAAGCAAGAAGAGGTCCATCAATGAGGGTTTATTATGAGAAGCAAACAGAATTTGGGAAATCCCCTCTTCAGTCTATCTAGTTTATGTGACTAGAGCTGAGGTTAGACTCAGCTTGTGTGGTCAGGCTGAGCTAATATTCTTACTTCAGGGGCAAATTTGAGATTTCCTAAGAGTTGGAGGAATCCTCTAAAAGGATTCTGGAAAGCAAACAAACAAAATACTGAATTTAAAAATAAAGAAAAATGTTGCCTCTTCACATTTTCTGTTTATTGAACTTACTGGTGTTTTAAGAAAAGCAAAATCACTTCAATCCTCTTTATTCTTTTATTCTGTATCAAGTGCATCAGGCAGCAAGCAGTGCTTCTTCATCTCCAGGGCCTCAATGTCCCAGTAAGGCAGCTACAGAAAGAGGCTGGACATGTTGTCACCAGTGGTCCTGAACCAAAGCTGCTCCTGCCAGGGCAGAAGTCCTTGTTTCCTGGAGAGGACCAATTTGCTGTGCTAACCAGGTCCTCCCTTGCCCTCTGAACATGAATGTGTGAATGTGGCATCACCATAAAGAATCCAGTACAGTTCTACCACACTCCAGGTAAGTGCAGGAAAACAGTGAAATTTCCTATGTCAAGTCAGAAGATGTGCTGGAAATATAGTGCAGTCTCCAGGGTCCTGGTCTCCGTGATTATTCACAACACAAAGGAAGCATTCTCATTTTACAACTCCTCAGGTTTTTAGAACAATATAAGAGATAGTTATTTTCATCAACACAGCTGGCTCCTCAGTACATTATTGTCATTTGGAGTAGCATTCACCAGCTGTGCCGTCCTCTGACAACAAAGTGTGAGAACTTACCTAGGCATGGTCTAGGACCCATCTACTCTGCCAACTCCATACTACTCTGATTTCAGCCACTCTGACTTTTAAATTAGTGAAATAATACAAAGTCTTTCCTTCCCTAAGATTGGAGACCACCAAAGTTCATATTCTGCCGGTACCACTTACTAGTTGTAAGATTAGGGCAAGGTTGAGCTTCATGTTATATGTGTTAGTTGGGGGGGAATAGTAGTTCCTATTTTATAGGATTGGGTTGGGATTGAAGGACACAATATCTGTCAAGGTCTTAGAAAGTTCCTGGCTCATAATATTTTTCAAAATATTGACTCCTCTTCCTTCTCTGCATCCTACACCCCACCATCTCTTTCTTCTTCTATTCACATCCCACCTCCCTGGTTTGCAAGCTGGGTTTTCAGTGTCTTAGCTTTGATAACTATTGTCTCTACTTCAGATGCCTCTTGTGACTGTCTTATCTAAAGCAGCTCTTTTGTCATTTTCTCTCACCCCTCTCTTATTTCCTTCACAGCACTTGGCTGAGTCTGTAGTTGCATATTTATTTGCTTTTATTGCCTTGCTCAGGATCTTTCTCCACTGCTGGACTGAAGACTCCATGACAGCTGTGACCTGGCCCGTTTTGTTCATCCCTGTACACCCTGCGCAGAGCAGAACATCTGGAAATATTTAGAAATGGAATCCTGAGGCTTCTGAGCTGTCAGGGGGACTACAAAGGGAAACTGCAATTCTGAATCATGAACAATTCTGTAGTTTGCTGAAGCAGAAGGCACTGGAGGGAACTGGTGCTGCGTCCCCTCACGAGGGTTGAGTGTGGGATGGAGGGAAGGAAGCCTGCCTTTGACCCAGAAGAGAATGCCGTAGAACTTAAGACAGCTCCGGATTCCCAGGGCCTCTGCTGAAGCAAGTGAACAGGGTCTGAAGCAGGAGACAGTGATAGAGAGCAAATGGCCAAAGAGTACCCTGGGTCAGCTTGGTGGAGGGCTGTGACTCGGCAGCACCCAGACGGTACCTTCTAGGGAACTCCAGAAGTATGTAAAAGATACCTTAAAAGTTGAAGAGCTACGATCCCCAGGATAGGGAAAGAACCAGGGAAACTTGGCTTTTCCTGTTATTCGCACAGTCTGGTAAGGCCAGGGGAAACTTGAATTATAGCATGAATATTATTGTGGCCTGGTCTCATCCCATGTAGAGAATTCAGATGGAGAAATACTGAGCAAAAGCCCATCAGCAGTCACAATGGGGTGTGACAGGAAGGAAGGACAGAGTACTGTCCTCAAAATCCCACATCACTACTGCATGGCCTCCATAGTGAACTGTGCCTTTGGCTGTGGGAGTGTTGGTGGGGAAAGTGGGCCTTCTTCTATCCTAGTAAACTTTTACAAAAATCACAGTCTAGCACCAGGCAACAGCAGAGGCTGTTCGATGCATTTATGTCGTATTACCTGAACAGCTGGGCAAAGATTGCCTTGGGAAACACGCTGGTAAGCTGGGAAATTCTGAAGATACAGAAGGAAACATCAGCTCCAACTCATATGCTCTCCCCTCGTGTGCTCACAACATACATCACTTCTGTGACCTCAGAGGTGTGGGGATTTCTTCTCTGAAGCCGGTAAGCAACTCTGCAGCAGCAGGATCTTTACTTGAATTCTGTTCTGACACTAACTACCTGTAGTTAGAGTTAGATCCCACAGGTGGAGCGATCCCTCCTGAAGCCTGCTCTCCCAAGCCCCACCTTCAGGTGCCAATCGAAAGCCCCAGGTTACTTTTACCTGTGTCTCTGACAGAATGTCTGTAACTCAGGGATCTCACAAGTGCCTCCTCAGGTTGGAGAGATTTAACTGAGCACCTTATAGAACTCAGGGAAACATTTTTTTTTTTATTGGTTTACTGTAAAGGACATTACAAAAGATACAACAAATAGTTATATAGGATAAGGCATAGAAGAGCTTCTGTGTCCATCTCCAGGAACCTCCATTACTTTGCCCTGTGGAAGCTCTTTGTCCTTTTGAGTTTTCATGTTAACCTCATGTACATCTAAGGCTAATAGAATGGGTGAGGAAGCCTCTGAGAAATTCCTGGCCACTCTGCAGCGTTCCTCCCTCCAGGGCACGGGGGAGTACCCTCTGGAATGAGGAGAGTTCTATGGCCTGTCAGGAGACAAAGGTAGTTAAAGAATTTCTTACGGCCACAGAAGCAGGGAAGTAGGGTTTCTATGACCTACCTGGGGAAAGACAAATTCTAGTTTCTGGCTGCCTTGGGGAGGAAGTTCTGAGCTAGGAACTGTGGATGAAAGCTAAAATATACCATGATATCACAGAAATTGTTCACACCATACTTCAGTGGAGATGGTATTAACTTGAGAGTCAGAATGTAAAATCTGCATCCTTGTCACCCCTTAATAATTTCGTTCCAAAAGTTAATAACAGGAGTGTGTAAAATAAATTGCAAATGATCTGCTCCCATTGTTGTGCCAATAACTGTTTCTGAAGGGACACTACCATTAAAACAAGAAAAGAGGATGAGATAAAATGCAGTATCCAAATACGCATATGCTGTAGATGTGAGAAGGTAGTAAGGCAATTTCTGTTACTCACTTCCCATTCCTTTCCAAGAAAGGTGTTCACAACATGATCCCTTTAAAATAATTCTTATGCATGTATGGGAGGAGGCAGGAGTGGGTATATACATGTATATGTAGAAGAAGTAAAAGAAAGCCCCAGGCGGATTTTATAATAACATGAGCATCCTAACTCCTTTGAACTGAGTTTGAACTGGGTAGTCTTTAAAGCCCTTTTATATCTCTCACATGTTCTACATGTAAAGTCCTCAAGCTCCTTTGGATGACGGCTGGTTGAAATTGGTTTTTTAGGCCAGATTTTTAAAAAGGACTTTTTTTTTTTTTTAAATAGAAGCAACTGCTTCTTTATGGCCACATTAGAAACAATCAGAAAAAGAACAATAATTAAAAGCTAATGAGAAAATGCCACTGAAAATGAACATATATTTTCTTCCCTCTCTCTCTTTCTCTCTCTACCTCCCTCCCTCCCCCTCTTCCTCTCCTTTTCTCTCTTTTTTCCTGGTACTGCAGATTTGACCCAGGGCTTCATACCTGCTAGGCAACTGCTCTGTCACTAAGCAACATTCCTGGCACTTTTTTTTTTTTTTTTTTTGAGACAGGGTCTTGCTAAATTGCTGAGGCTATCCTTGAACTAGCAATTCTCTTACCTAAGCCTCCTGAGTAATTGGGATTATAGGCACACGTCATCATGACCAGCTAAATAAGTATTTTCTGAAAATATTAAGAAAAGACAGAATCGAGCCACTGGGAACTAACTGTACTTCACTGTCATGCAAACACAGAGATAAAGTGATACTTTGACCAGGAGCAGTCAACATAGATGCTTGATCTGAAAAAGTCTCTTGATTAAAAAATGGTGTTTTTTCTAATGCATGGAAGGTGCTAACCCAACTCAAACCTTTGTGCCATAATCCTTATGACTTTATCATCAACTGGTTTCATAAGAGAACATGGCCAAACCTGCTTGTCCTTGGCTACAGATACCTCCAGGAAAATTCAGGTTGCTACCGAAGTTTTGCAGGTGACTCAGATTGTGAAATTCCGCCTTCAAGTAAGGATAGAATTTTAGCTTTTGTCTGGTTAGTGGTTTAGTCCCTGGAGCTAGTTCTCTAAAGTCATATTTAAGTACTGAGGTACAAAAATTTTCTAAAGAATGTGTTATCTTGGAAAGGTGGTCTCATTGCAACTGAAAGATTTGTGGGTTTTTTCCTGAGGATTCTACTTTAAGTTCAGTTTGATGTGGTTATTCATTTCCTTCCTAAGAATTCAGCCCTAGAGAATGACCACCATGTTTCAATCTGTAATTCAGAAAAAAAAATTAAGGTATGCAAACCCTATGAAAGCCAGTGTATTCCTAAATGAAAGCCAGTGGGGAATCTTAGAGCAATTAATTCTACATAATTGGTACGTTATTTTTTATTAAGCTTCTCTCTAATAAAACCTTTGAACTTTTTATTTTAATTCAATAAACACTAGATCCCCACTTAACTTTAAACTTTATTTGACAATTTTTAAACTTTTATGAAAGGAACATTTGAAGAGTGTCCATACATCACTAGGTCTATGGGAAGGAATACAAAATATTGAAAGCTTTAACTTAAATTAGATATGTAAAGATACAAGTGCAGATTGAAATTTCTCCAAACCAGGATGTTGAGAATAACTTGCATGAATATTGTAAAGATAAAACCCTGACCTACACACATTTTTTTTTCCTATTTGGTGAGAATAAAGGCGCTAAATTGAAATGTTAATGGCTACATCTATTTCTTGACCATAAATCTGTGATATCATCATTCATCAAAAAAGGCTGGTTTAAAGAAATAGTTACATTGACATGATGTTATAGAGGTAAAAGGTATCCACGACCTTTCTCTCTAGAATCCCAAATGATCTGTAAAATGTCATTGAGTTTGAATTATTATTTCTGTTTTCTGCCAAATTTTTATTCAGATGCTGGTGGTTTTATTAACATATCAAGTGAAAGTGTCTTGAGCCTGTTTATGTGAGGCATTCTGCTATTTGGTTTTGTGGCAAAGATGGCAATTTATTCTCCATCACTAGTTTTCCTCTATGCTTGGTGATGGCCTTTGACTGGATCCATAGCTATGCAGAGAAGGATTGCTTTTTAGCCTCCCTTTCAAAGCTAACTGTGTCCAGGTGGTGAACTTTTGACTAAAAGCATATAATAGAAGTGTAATGAGGGTGGTACTTGTAGGAACTTTCCTTTATAGACCAATAGCATGCACTCAAAGCCCTTTAGTCTTCCCCTTTTCCTCTCTCTCAACACTTACAATGTTGGGCCAATGGTGTGTGCTCCCTCTTGGACCAGAACCTTAGGAGATGAGAAGAGAAATCTGGACAGAGCCTGGGTCTCCAACAACTTTGAGGAGCAGAGTTTCTTCACCAGACCCAGGTTCCTATCTCCAAGTTTTGATATAATAAAAACAGATATTTTTTTCATTTTAAACCAGTATTAGTTTATAGCCTATTCCTGTTACTCACTGCCCATTCCTTTCATGGCCACTCTAAAGGAATACTATGAAGATAAAATGAATACTGTAAAGATAAAACCTGATTTTAAAACAAAAAGCGTGACACATAATTTTCTGAGGTCAGTATCGGGTTGTTCGATCTGATACATGGTTCAGCAAATGAACAGGATATTGTAATCTCAACCAAGGTTATACTGAAAAACTATCAGACTAGAAGCTTGCTACTACCTGTCTATATTACACATATATCAATAGTTGAAGTAGTGGTGTTTGCTTTAGGTTGGTTGTAGGTAATTTAATCATCAGTAATACTGAACTAGGTGGGATGGAGCATTCTAATGTGAGAGGCTTATAGACATTTGTGAGGTGCACTATATTGGGGTTAGTGAGCATCCCTACCTTAAGTCTCAAAGGGCTTCAGAGGACCAGTTTCTGCATCCTGGTCCCCTTCCCTGCCTATTAGGATCTATAAATGAAGACGTATTTTATCTCCTGCTACCTCACCTATAATTTACCAACTTTTTCTTTTCCAAATCATTTTCATACCAGTCATCTTGGGAGGAGGAAAAATTAAAAAATGAAGGAGTATTCTGGCATTACTATTGAGCCATATCTCTGGATGAATCAGAGGTAAAGACAAGGTAAGTGGATTACTTGTGCCACTGACCTAATTAGGAAAAGTGAATTCAATTTATATGTACAGAGTGTATCACAAAAACACTCTGTTGGCTTTTTGCAAAAGAATCCAATGAGAGAAGTTAGTGTTACTTGCCTCCTTATCCTCCTTTTAACGAGAAGGACTTTAAACCCTGAAGTAGCTAAATAATATACAAGACACTTGCAGAAGGCAGAAGTGGTCTCAAACTTGTTCCACTTCCTATAGGTTGCTTATTCTCAAGCCCCAAACTTCCCCATGATTTTGCTCCAATGACTTCCCCAATCCTTATTTGTATTTCAAACCCATCCTAGCTACACTCCTTGCTCCTTTCCTGTGATTTTGAAATTCCTCTTAAGCTGCTTGCATCATTTTAAATCCCAGAATGAGCAGTTGGGTCATTACCATTTGTCTTACAGAAGTCATCCCTGAAATGTGGATCAGAGGAAGGATCCCTTGACAAAAGGGGTTGCCCGGGTAAATGACTCATTGCCTACAGAGATGGACTTTTTAAAAAGGTCATTTTCTTTCTGGAATGTAGGAAACTGATTTTCCTGTCTTTTTAAGTGTCATCACAGAGGCAGAAATGGGGGCGGGGAAGGTTTTAATTGTGAGATCTCAAATGAGCAGGGAAGCAAAGCAAAAGGAGATCGGATAGCTCAGGTCTATCCTCTCTCCTGGTCACCTTGGATGCAGAAGCAGCCTCACTAACGTGCAGCAGTGACGTGACTCAGGGTCAGCCGACAGAGCAGGAAGTCACCTCCAACTGCACCGACAGATGGGAAAGTCCAGAGTAGACTGAATGTACTTTTTAAGAAAAGGAAATAAAGAAGACGCTTTGTAGCTGATGGTCTGTGTCACAAGGCTAGAATCCCCAGTTATTCTTGATAGTTCTGTGCAAGGCACTAGTTTGGGAAGACACTGATCTATCAAGTAATTACTGTACTACTTGCAAGCTACCTCAGTAAGTTTCAGTCATTAAATAAAGAAAAGCACTTTTGGTTGGAGGAAGAAAATGACACAGTCTTCACTGAGCTGGGTTAAATAATGAATTGGTCTCTGGGGTCTTGGATGATTACAAGCAAAACTGAGAGGCAGACATCATCCCTTCTCAATGCGGTTGCCTGCTTTTGGGAGTCCCTTCCTTTGTCCCCAGGGTTCAGGGATTTCATGGAACACTTTTCTTTCACCAGAGAAAACAGAACTGTTGCAGTCAATTAATAAATCTGAGAATCTATGACTACCTGTGGTGGTGCAAGGGATATTGAAAGGTAAACAGCAGTGGAGAGTAGTTTCAAGGGTGAACAGGATGGGTTACCAAATAGTGATGTCAAGAGGACATGCTGTGGGCTTTCAGAGGAAGGTGGGGTCACCGGTGACAGGTACATCAGAGAAGTTCATGCATAAACACTGGATCTAGAACAGCCCTGCATCTTAAAGGGAAAATCTACATATAAGTAATAAGGATCAAATCAGTTATTTCAGAAATGGCAGTAGCCAAGCAGATACTTGAGGGGGTGTTGGTGCACCTCCAAGGCTCTGAAGGTCTGGGTTAGTCCTGGTTGAGAAAGACTGTTGGAACACAGAAGTCTCTATTTCCTCATCTGTGTCATGGGTGCAAAAAAATGTGTCATGGTTGCAAAAAATGCCTTCACTGCCATTCAGATTAAATAATGGTATGAATAAAGGTATAAACTGTAACTTACTTAATAAACTTAAGTTGTTGTTAATGGCCAGGTGCAGTGGCACACACCTGTAATCCCAGTGACTTGGGAGGTTGAGGCAGGAGAATTTTAAGTTTGAAGTTATCCTCGAATGTGAGACCCTGTCTCAAAAAAAAAAAAAAAATATCAAAAGGGCTTGGGCTGTAGCTCAGTAGTAAAAAGCCCCTGGGTTCTGGTGGAACCAAAAAAAAAAAAAAAAGTCATTATTGATAGCAATGGCAATATATTATCATTTTAGGAGAATAATTTTTTTCAGACAGAAGTATAGCTTAATTAATAGAACTAAAGTGGCAATTTAAAATCCATATATAGGTTATGAGAGTTGGCAATGAGGTGCTGACTGTAAATATCAAATTGCAGCATGCATGTCACCAATGTGCATATGTGTAATCTTGGACTGGGGTCTTGTGAGAAGTAGCATGAGGACATAGGACATTTAAAAAAATATTATAACTGATACAAATATAATCTTTCTGAGACTATTTTTGTTTTCTTTAGTGTGAGGATAATTAGCTTTCAATGTTCTAAATGAACATTGTCTTTTTAATATATACTAATCGAGCTCACATAGTGCATAGTATACTGTATGAACCCAGTGTATGTTGAATGAGCAAGTTTTCTAGATTTAAGATGCAATTCGATAATCTTTGCTCTATTT